AAAAGCCCAAGAAAAAAAAAAGAATAAAAAGATATAATTGAATACAGCGAATATTTGTGACTTCTGGAGCCTCTTGAACTGGGATTTGGGAGCAATTTCTTTTGTCTCTCCTCTCAATACTCGCAAGCAGACGATTAGGGCATCAGGTTACTCCAAAGCAAGGAAGTGGAAGGCGGCTATTTTAGGCAAGAAAAGAACATTATTGAATGAAATATATAGTAATGAGTAACAGAYGTTATTGATTTTATAAAGGCATTTATTACTCTATGAAAATAATATACAATAAATAATTTGCCATTTACTATTAAAGAATTTGAATAAATAATCTAACTCTAAAACTTAAAAAGAGGAATAAAATCCTCTACTTTTATTTTATTAAGAAATCTAAAACTCTCATTCTGATTCCTGAGCAATTCACTTGAAGGATTTACAGATGTCTTCTCTTGGGATGAACTCGTTAATGTGCATGAGGACTAATAGGTGCTTTCCTTAAAAAATAAATAAGATAAAATAACTATAATTAAATACCTGAATTTAAGGGGGGGGAATGTTCTTTTATGTGAATCTGTTCCAATAAATATTTGGGAGGGTAACGGATCCCGCAGTGCGGAAGATTTTAAAATAAAACGTCCGTGGTAGGCGAAGGGCCGGCTGAGGGAGGCGCGTTTTTGGGGTGCCCCCCCGGCCCGGGGGCACCGTGCGGGTCCGCGCCCGGCGGCTACAGGAAGTCGAGCGGCTGCAGGTCTATGGTGCAGAGCGCGCTGGTGAAGAAGTCCAGTTCCTCCTCGGAGAGGTGCACGGGGCTGTGCAGGGAGAGGCCGTCGGGGAGCCCCTCGGGCGGCGGCTCCGCCGGGAGCGCGAGCGGCTCCGGCAGCGCGGCTGAGCGCCGGCCCGTCGGGTAGCCCCGCTCCGCGCCGCCCCGCGCAGCCCGCCCCAGCGCGGGGCTCTCCTCGGCCTCGTCCGCGGGGTCRCTGCCCTCGTCCAGGCTGGGGAAGGCCACGTCGCCGTCGGGGGGCTCCTTGTGCTGCGCTTGCCTCTTGTGCTTCATGCGCCGGTTCTGGAACCAAACCTTGACTTGGCGCTCGGTGAGGTCGAGCAGGGCGGCGATCTCGACGCGCCGCGGCCTGCACAGGTACTTGTTGAAGTGGAATTCCTTCTCCAGCTCCAGGAGCTGCGTGTTCGTGTAGGCCGTGCGAAGCCGCCGCGAGCCGCTACCGTCGCCCAGGCCCTGTATTTCTTAAATTCATGGAAAAACACCCGTTGCAAAGAGAGGGAATGGGGGGCGCAGTGGGGCTGCACCCCTCACCCCGCACCCTGCCCCGCGCCCCGAGCGGCTTCAGCCGCTGCAAGGGAAAATAAATCTGCGTTGGGCTCTGCCCGCTGCGGAGGGGCGACTGGAACGCGCCTCTCTGCAGGGAGCAGAAAGGATTTTGCTTTAGGGACCGCTCCTCGCTGCCCCGTTCCTGGGCAAGGGATTTTTCCGCCCTCTCCTCGGGGTTTCGCTGCCCGCTGCCTGGGCGCTGCCGAGATCGGGGTCGTTTTTCTTGCTCTATCCGGCCCATGGAATCGGCTTCCGCTCCCTCCCTCGGTCGCGCTACCTGAATTGTGCTAATAAAACAGTGAAAGCGCGAATTCTGCCTTCAAATATTATCCCATGGGAAGTATGATCCTTGGCCAGGACTGCTGAATTTCCTCGGCCAGAAGTTTCTTGGAAAGGGCATAATGCTTGGATGGGGATGTAATTTGGGGCTGTATTTATTTTAATTATTTGTAGGGGGATTCCATAATGTGGAATTAACTGCTGAGCTCACTGCTCTCTTCTTTTCTCTCCTCATTATACTCACAGCAACTCAGCATTTCTCACGGCTTCTCTTTCCCCCGCTTTCGCTTTTTTTTTATTTTCTTTTTTTTTTTTTTTTTTTTTTTTTTTTTTTTTTTTTTTTCTTTTCTCTCTCTCTTTCTTTTCCCCTTCGGCTTCAGAACACCCAGGGCTAGGAGGGAAGTGGAATAAATGGAGCCGAGCCGCGAGGCCGGCACCGAAGCCTCCTCATTTGCTTCCGCTGGATTTGCCGCAAAAAAAAAAAAATTTTTTATTTGAGGGGACAGAAGGCAGAAGAATGATCCCCCCGCCCCCGCAGTGCAAATTGCAGCGATCTCCTTTATTGCAAGACACAGTTTGGGGCGAGTGGGGAGAATTAGGGCTGGGGACGGCGGGGTCCTATTCGGATTCTCTCCCATTTCGGCAAACACCCTCCTCACCCTCTCGCTATACGAACCTGCAGCAGCTCCCGCGGCGGACACCGGCACCGAGGAAGGCGCTGGCGGGGAAGAGGATGAAGAGGAATATGGAGCCGGGGTCGCTTTTCTGGACGGTTTCTTCTCCTTCATCCAGGGGAATTCGGCCGCTGCGGAGCCGGGCGGCGTGGGCGGCGGCTGCCCCAGGCCATGGGATGCTCTTTTTTGGCTCCTCGGTCTTGCCTGGCTGCTGAAACAAGGATTCAGGCTGAGGACGGCTTGCTCAAAAGGAGGAGGAATTAATGTCGACTCCTTGATTGATGAAGTTTGAAATGTCTCCAGGACAGCGGGGAGAGACGTCAGGCACTCTGCGAGCGAAGGCTGGCTATTTATAAACCCGATCTCCCTCTCAAATTCAAAATTCATGGCTTTTCCAGGGCCCGGGCTTTAAAAAGCGGGAGGGGGGAGGGAGGAGGAGGGGAAGAGGGAGAGAAATCTGAGGGCCTCGGGTTTTATGGCAGTGATGATGATGGTTCTCGGGCTTTTTATAATTGTTATATTGCTGATAATACAGGCGGATGGGGACCTTGCTCTATTAAACTCGAGACTGGGGCGAAATTGCAGCCAATTCCTGGTCACGTGTCCACCCCCGGCCAATGGCAGGCGGGGCCTGGTGGCAAACAGAAATCATTATTTTCTTTAATTGATTAGRAAAAAAAAAAAAAAAAAGGAGTGAGAGAGGGAGAGAAAAAATATAAAATCCACAGGATCTACAGGAAAAGTCTTTGCCCGACGGCTGCGCCGGGGCTGCTGGAGCTGCCCTCGCGGGCTGCCTCGCATCTCCTGCCTTCTCTGTGCTTTCCTCCCTGCTCTTTCTTCCCTCTGCTGCCTCTCCTGCTCTTCCTTCCCTCTCCTGCCTCCCTCCGCCGACTTCCTGCCAGTCGCGGGGCTCCAAGGCGCTCACCGGGTTTCTGAGAGCCTTAAGAGCCAGGGGAGAGGGGAGAGGGGGTCGAGGGGATCCCCTGGGGGGACCGACGGCGGCACCAAAAGCAGGGGCCCAGTCGGTGACTCCACCCGTTGCTTGGGACCGGAGCCGAGCTCGAGAACTTCGGGGCAGCAGCAGGGCTGAGCGCGCAGGTTGGTTTCTGAGCGCGGGTATGAAGCACTTAGGAAGCACCACGAAGCACCAGGTGAAGTTGCCAGTCACACTTAGGTAGCTCGGCCTGACTGGCCCCGTTGAATCACTTTTAACGAGACGGAGTGTAATCCTGCTGCTTCCAAAGCCTTAATGGTCCCTTACACTTTCCTTCAAGGCCAAACATATTTTAAGGTCATGGATATCTTTGCAATCACATTTCTTCTTTCTCATCCTCTTCCCCTCGCCAATAAAGAGATCCACTTCCAGAGTTTACAAAATAAATAAATAAAATGAAAAGTCATTTCCCTTTTTTTTCCCCTTTAAAGTGGCCGAATCCGCACAAATCAAAAGGAAGAGAGAAATCATCAATCTTTTTCTCGAAAGACTTTTGACAGGTCGGCCTAGCTCACTCAGCAAATAGTTTTGTCTTTTGCTAAAGAGTTACTTAAAAGAGAACGATCTCAAAAAGTTTAAACCGGAGCCCTGAATTCGTGAAATCTAGAAATTCTGAATTTCTCAGGGAAAACAACAACAACAAACAATCGTTTTGTTACAAGGGGAAATGCGGTCAGTTCCCATTTTTTTCAGGCTCCAGCTTCCCCATTTTGCGTCGAGATGGGGCTGGCAGCGCCATTCACGCCAGGGAAGCCCTAGAAACTTTTGTCACTTAAAGCATCCGTGTGGGTGGTGGGGGCTTCAGAGCAGCGCATAATGCATCGAAAGCTGAACCGGAGGGCGAAATGCAGTTTAGCAAAAGAGTGAAGAAGAGTGAAGAGAATACTGCGTCTACAAAACCCAGTAGAGCAGAGGCGTTAACGTTTGGTAGAATTTCCCAGAATATTTCGTATGCGACAGTCTCCTTTCGTACTAATCGAAATCAGCTTCAAGCTTTTCGGTGGCAGCAGATTTTTGCGCTCCATGTGAAAGAGGCTTTGGGGGGTTCAGGGTCTGCCGCGGGGTTCGAGGCAGGGCCAGGGGTGAAGCGGGCGGCCCGCGCCGCCCAGGAAGGTGGCCGGCTCGAGCAGCGGCTTGGCGAACAAAACCAGCCTCTAACCAGGGGAGTGAGGAGGGAAAAATTCTTCCCAGTCGTGGAGAAGGGAGAGAATCTCCTCGTTACAAGAAATTCGCACATTTAAACGGCAGCGGGGACTGCGCCCATCGTACTTAAAGGCGAACTAGGGGCCGTTTTTTTAACGCCGCGGCGCAGACGAGAGCGGCGGGTGGGAGGATTTCCCGGAGAGGGGAGCGTGGGAGCCCGCGCTCTCCCATTTTTCAGCAGTTCCTGGGAATCCTTGGCAGCAACATGGCGATAGGGGAGGGAGGCTTGGGAAAACGGGAGCCGGGAGAAAAAGCCCAGGACGAGCCTCAACCCTTGGCCGATGCCGCTCAATGCGGTCCCGGCCTCGTCTGCTTTAAATCAGAGCACCCCCGACTAGCAAATGCTCCCTGCACGGACGGGCATAAGGGAGATGTGGCCCTAAGCAGGAAAACCAGTCCCATCTCCCTATTGTGCTGTTATTTAYGAGCACATAAGGTTATAATTATTAACCTGGAACTGCATTTATTATTACTATTACTATTACTATTAGGTTCGAGATAAAAAGAACCACAAAATCAATTCCCATGTAAAGTCACCAGTGGATATGTGTGGATTTACTTAGATACATAGGGAAGCGTTTYGCTCTGCAAACCTCTGTGCAGAAAACAGGAGTACTCGCACGCCCCTGCTTCCACTGCCCACCTTATATATGCATTTCCACTGCCCACCTTTTCATAAATATATTCATCCTTTTCTCGCAGCTTTAGTCAACATCTCTCCAGGTCCTTCCCCTCGGAGGGGCTTGTTCCATTTCTCAGCCCCAACGGGAAGCATTTCGAGGCTGGCAAGCAGCCTGTCCCCCCTTCCCGCACCACAGTCCTTCCCGCACTCAATAGAAATGCCTGAATAGAAGTGAGTTTATGCTTTGGAGCCTAAGTTTATGCTTTGGAGCATAAAAACCAGGTTCTGCGCGGGTTTCTCCTCGCTGCTCCGGCTGCCGCGCTCCACCCGTGCCTGCCCTGCTCCCTTCTCTCCTAAAACCCCGATTTTCTCTGCATTTTTCAGTGCAGGGCAGGGGCATGAGCGCATGCGTGGGGGCGTGGGAGCGCGCAGGGATTTCACGTCTCTGCGCTTTGAAAATCCGCGCACGGAAACGCGGGGCCTTTTTGTGTGCGTGTGTGATTAATCATTTTCCTTTGTTTTCATTTGCGGCCCAATAGGAGGCCGGCGCTGGCGCCACGTGACCTCCCTTTGTGGCCGCAGGCGCGGGCCGGGCCGCGCGGGGCCGCGGAGGGAGCGCGGGGCGGGGGGGGGGGTTGGGGAGGGGGCACTCGGAGCCGGGAGGGGGGAGGCACAGCGCAAAACGCGGGTGTGCGGGGCCTTCTCCTTTCTTTTAAGACCATTTTACTGCTTTTCAATAATACGTATTTTTAGGGTTTTATTTGATCCGACTGATAGGACAAGGTAAAATTAATAACAGAAAGTTTATTCAAGAATTGTTGACAGACAACCCTTAAGCAAGGAAAGAAAAAAACTACCATAAGAACAAAGAAAGATCCCCCAAGAGGAGGGGCGGGAGGGAGGGGCTCGCTCTAGCTCTTCTAATTCAGGACTCTACAATTACAGTCTGGTTCTGCTCTCATGCCTCCAGTAGAACTAATTACATTATTCATAAGTACGAAGGTAACATAAAACTACTGGTCTTTCTAAATTACAAGAACTAAAATAGGCTTGTTGTACAATGACAAGGAAACACAATGTCCTTTATAACAAGTAAATACTAAAAAAGTACAGTTTTTATCTTTTTTTCCTCATATAAATACATAATATTGGGGATAAATAATACAAAAAAAAAGGAAAATATTTTAAACTGGCTATAACCAATAAATATATATGAATGTTCACCAGAACACACACCTATTGAAGAACATCTCGACTGAGTTGGACGATTGCCCTTCAAAGTTGTTTTTATACCCATTATATGTAAACTCTAAGTGCAACAAAGATGTCCACACAAGAAAGCATTAGCAAATACTAAGGATCCATTCACCTCTGCTTCAATTGGAGGACATTCCGTTTGTTCAAATATACCCTGTTTTCACGTAAGGTCAAGAGAAGAGGAGGAAAGAAGTGTAGGACTTCCAAGTCTTAAGATTGCTTTTCTGTTAATGAACCCTAAGAAAAATACCCCCACCTGAAACAAACAAACAAACAAATGAACAAAACCCCATCGTCATCAAATGGAGACTCTGCGTCGTCGGAGGCGGAGGTGGGACAATGTTCAGACCCGTGAGCTCTTTCTTCCTCTCTTTGGACTGCTGTCATTCTGTTGGGGGCTATAGGTCTTTCAGGAGTCGTTCCTGGACATTTTGCAATTCCTTAGCCACTCCTGTTGTATTTCTCTCTCTCTCTCTCTTTTTTTTTTTTTTTTTTTTTTTTTTTTTTGCTTTTTAGAGGGAGGCAGAGGTAGGAGAGCAAGAAGGAGGTTTGTGGCATCCGCGGCTGAGTCGGGGTCCAGTTCTGGTGGGGACTGGCTGGAAGGTGCTGGGCAGGGAGGCTGCCTTCCCTCCCAAGGCAGGAGGGGGAAGCACAAGGTCTTCTTGAGAAGGGATGTGAGAGGATGGCAGTTTTCCTGTGAATCTCTTTTTGCTGCATGTGTATACACCTCGGTTTTTACAGACACCTACTCTGAAGACTTGGTTGGCTGGCTGTTCTCCTGCCCAGTGTCTAAGAATTATCAGAAAGGACCTGTGCTCAGCTTGGAAACGCAGGATGCTGCTGCTAAAAGCTGCTAGACTCCCGTAAAACTACCCCAAGGCCACTTCAGAAGCATTTGTGTTGAAACACAGGAGGGACATCTCTTCAGAGACAGAGCTGCTTTTGAAAGGAGATGCTGAAATCCTTGGAAATTGTGCCTAATCCAACCAAGAAATCATAGCAATTATGACAATAACATGGCAGAAATCACCCCATCAAAATGAAAGAGAGACATCAACACAAATGTTTCTGAAGCGGAGGCTGCCCCCTTCCCCTCCGGCACAGTGCTGGAGTCCCGTGCAGCTCGCCCGGCGCTGTCCCCGCTCTCTGTCACAGGTGGGTGAGCTTGGGCGCCTCTTGGATTCGGCCCTGAGAAGAAGCGTGGTGCGTGGAGAGGTCTGTGTACGTGGGGTGGCTCTCACATGGTCCGTGGTGCTGGCTCGGGGGCATCTGCGGCRGCCCATTGAAGTCCATGTTGGCAGCCTGGTGATGGGGCAGGTGATTGAGGCCGTAAATGGACGGGCCAGAGGCCGCCATGGAATCCACATAGTTACCGCCAACATAGACGGGGCTTCCCTGCATGCTGGGAGTCCCGTAGGCCACCCCGTTCCCCTGTAGGACGTGCGAGTCGTACTCGGGGGCCGTGTTGCTGTACTTCTGTTGCGAGGGGCAGCCTTTGATGGGGTTTTGGTAGCTAGTGGGCATGGCATAGGCATTTTGGTGGGGCTTATTGAAGGAAGGCGGAGAGGGAGCATCATAGTTACTGCTCATGSTGTGCAAGGCGTTCATAAACCCGGCCGAGGACTGCATGGGCTGCGGGGGACTGCCGGGGGGGGAAGGCCCTCCGGACGAAGACCCCATGCCTTTCGACTTCTGGTCTTTCTTATACTTCATCCTGCGGTTCTGGAACCAGATCTTGATCTGCCTCTCGCTGAGGTTCAGCAGGTTGGCCATCTCGACGCGCCGCGGCCTGCACAGGTAGCGGTTGAAGTGGAATTCCTTCTCCAGCTCCACCAGCTGAGCGCTCGTGTAGGCCGTGCGGGCTCTCTTGGAGGCCGAGGAGCCCGGGGGGCTTTTCTCGCCACTGCAGGTTTCTGCTGGCCGCGAAATGAAATAAAGGATAATTACTTACATGCAGAAATTGAATGCATCGTTTCTTAATAAATCCTGGAACAGGCACAAGAGTTCGACCCCCCTTCCTCTCACCCCCTTTGCATTAGCCTGCACTCCATAATCATGTCATTTATTAAGAGTTCTATTCTCCAAAGCTGCCCCTGGTTTATGAAAATTTGATCATGTCATGTAGAAAAGGATTCCAGGGCCATTTATTTAGGAGTCGATTATTTTCAACAGATAATTTTGAGAAAATAATATTTGGCAGAGGGGCAGCCTCTGCAAAGCCAATTAATAGCAACACGGGTCAGTGTTGGGAGATAATTTCTTCACTGAGGTATCAATACACACACACATATCTTGTGCGCTTTATATTTGTGTAACACATATTTGCATGCATTTTTAAACATCAAATTCCATTTGTAGCTACATGTTTGCAACATAAACATGTATAGAAGAGATAAATATTAATAGAGATAGAAGAGATAATTATTAATAGAGTGAAGCGTGTGCTGCAAAGTCTATAGGGGTGTGTTTGCCAGAACACTGCAGTTCCACAGTGCCCTTTTTCTCTCATTTGCCATGGATGTGTGAGGACACGGGAAAAGGGGACATGTAGGGACACGTAGCAGTGGCTGGGCACGAGGATCACGGCTGCACAGAGGCACTCGATGTGTCCCCTGCCCGCCCCTGCACGCGTGGACAGGCAGTGCCAGCCCCACGGCTGCGCTCCAGTGCTACGAGGCTGGTGCTGCGGCTGTGCCAGTGGGCGCCACTGTAGCTACAGCCACAGGACATCAGCTGTGTGCAGGTGACTGTTTGCATCTCTCTCTTGCGCTCTGGATATATTTTAAGTATCCCAAGTGCGTGTGGCCGGAGCCTGAGCAGGGACCATGACCTGGCCACCCTACACCTCTCTCCTCCCTCCAGACCAGAGCACTGCAGCCAGAGGCCTCCTTCCCTCGCTGGGCAGGATAATGGAGAGTTACAAAAGCAGAATGTGATACCTGTGCTAGGAGAGCTGTTTTTCTGTTTGGAGTTTTGTCGCGATTCTTTCATCCAGGGGAAAATCTGCTTGGTGAGACTGGCGCTCGCACTGAGGCCGGCTTTGCCAGGGGCGGCTTTGCCGCTCCCAGGCTGGTTATTGCTGCTGCTGCTGGTGCTGTTGGYGGCAGGGTTGGGGGGCGGCGAGATGGGCGCAGGCGGGTGGTGCTCCGGGGGCAGACTCGGGCGCATGCAGCTCCCGTTGAGCTCTTTACTCTTGGCGTGCGGGGCCGCGTTGCCGAGGGCCTGCAGGGAGCAGGCGGAGCGCTGGAAGTCGCCCTCCACGTGCGCGCCCGGCGGGAAGGGCTGCTGCGGCCCATCGTAGCCGAACCCGGAGGTGCTCCCATAGGAATAGCCCCCAAARAGTGTGGAGCTGTCGTAGTAGGTTGTCTTCTGCATCTCTGGGGCTCCCCAAAATGATTTTTCCAGCTACCAGGGTCTTGACACCCCTATGGCAGAACATTGGCACCCCAAGGCCACGTGACAGGCCGTTTCCAGCTGTCTATTGGAAGCTGACCTGAAAGGTTAGGAGAAAACACACAATAATAGTACCCGGCCTATGAATCCATCTTGGGCCCTGAAAAGCGCATGACATGAATAGGGTCCTGCAGAACAGGGCGAACAGATGCTCAGAGCAGATTTGTGCTGCGCAGCCTGGGCAGCCTCACAAGCGTCTCACTGCAGAAGTGCTCAGCCAATTTGGGAGGGTTGTTTTCCTAGCTGTTTGCTGGCATCCTTTTTGTTTGCTTGCTTTTTTTCCTCTTTTACAGCAGAACACTGAGGATGTTTAACTAAATATATGCTTTATAAATACATATGCATTCATCCATATACATCCATTTACATCTGTATTCATTTCTATGTATATATCCCCACACCCCTGCATGCACACAGACTCCCGTATATAGATCTGTGTGTATACAGGTCAGCGCACGTGTGCACGTGCGTGTGTCCGTGCCCATATCACACGCACAGAAAAGCGTTCTCACCCACAGCCATTCMAAGCAGCACTTCCCATGTAGAAAAGCAAAGGAGATGTTACCTAGGCAAAAGGGAGAAGACTCAGAGAGCCAAAGGTTGCTGAGTTTATAGTAGGGCTGCTGCCTGGAATATTTGTTTTTAAATAGAGAACAACAAATAGTCGATTTGTTTTATGCAGGTAGCAACGTCTTGACACAGTTGGCTGTATGGGCTGTTTACTCAGTGACTCACAACAGCTCTGGAATTTGGCRCAAATATTTTAAGCAGATTTCAGCAGGGGCAGGAATTCAAGAATGTGCTTCCTTGGCCTGCTTGTTCCTCCCGGGGAGCACAGGTTGCATTTAGCAAATAAACCTTGTGCCGCTGGACTCGTGGGTCTGGGTGCTGGGACTCCCACCGGCCACATGCAATTCCCGAGTTTAATTGCTACCCTTCCCACACTCCTTGGGAAACAAATGCATCCCAGGCCATTTGCTTCCAACTTTGACCCCCTTGGATTTTCATCATCCCCCCTCTCCCAGGCTAAATCCATAAAGTCTAAAAATCCAGGCCAAAAGCTCAAATTACAAAATGAAACCTTCTTCCCTTATCTCACCCTATTTTTTTCCTTTTTTTTTTTCTTTTATTCTTCTCTCCTTTTTTTTTTCTCTCTGTCTTTTCTTTTTCTTCTTTTTTTTTTCTTTTAAATTTTTATTTTCTCAAAACATCCACTTGCCCTACAACGAACCAGAGTGAAAAAACCTTCAAAATACAGCAAATGATCTTGCCTGGGAAAAAAAAATGTCGTGTGAGGATCAGTCAAGCAACAAACAGACTTAAGAGGCAGCAACTTCTCCCTACACCTCAGACCTAGTGAGAGGCTGCT